ATAATTCACACAAAGTGCCGTTTGTAAATTGGAGAAATTATGCAACCTACTAAAAAAAACGTATGTGCATTTACCGGGACTTAAATGATCTGGTGAAAATAATGGTTCATGACAATGTTTGAATTATACATGACATTCTGTAAAATGAAGTAATTCTTCAGATATGTATGTATTTAGCTTCTTAGTTATTTATTAACTGGATACATAGTGGTACAGTACAGTTCCACAAGGCATTAATAGCACTTATTCTCAAAGACTCTTCTAATAGAGGCCTAGTTATCGCACAATACACTTGCTGTTCTGCAGCCAGTATAGGGGTTTCTTATATATATAAACTAAACAGCTCGCACGTCTACAAAGATACTACACTGGCTGTTCACAGGAAGCACAGGCTTAACACCTCTATCTTCAAATCAAAGCAATTAGTTCACAACATCCCATTTTAAAGCTCTGAAACAATACACTATCCTATCAAAACTGCATACAGTACATGCGTACATTCGATAAACAAAGTTTTGGTGTCACCAACTTTGGATTTTTTTACACAGAAAGCTAAAAATAACGTTAAATAATAAGTATATATAATGAAATGGACAAAACAATAAAACATTAATCGATCGACAGGACTATGGGAATAAAAAGTAAATTATGTTTTTTTTCACTATCTTTCGAATACTTGGGTCAGTTTGTTTTTATTTTAATACTGTACAGTATAACGTACACTATTAATTTTTATTTTTAAATGTCTTTGTTTACAAAATGAATGGTATGAAATGGTAAGTTAGGAAGGCTGGGAACGCATCTCCATAGTACTAATGTTATAAGTTATTCACGATACGAAGTTTCAACATTCGAACGAAGCTCTGTATATCGAGGTATTATTGTATTTATGTTGTAGTTAGAGTTTTGATTTATTTTAATGCTTCCCAACCAATGCTGAAAATGTTTTTGGATTAGCGCTATCCGTCTCTCGTGTCGGTAATCCAATACATAAGAACCAACATCGAACTCTAAGGTTTGTCGCTGTTAGGGAATCATCGCATTGAAAACCAACCAACTCGATTGGAGGGTTTTGCCCCAACTTTGCAGTCCAAGACAAGCTTCTCAGACGGCCCTACCGTTGGCTTCCCAGCCCTGCTAGATGGGGCATCATCCTCGCAAGGCTCTTGAGTCTCCACTGCCACTCCACCTCCCCCATTCAGGCGCGCTATGCTTCAGCAATACAACGGGCGTTCTGTTGAAGCCCCCCTTTCAATGTTCACGATGCCGGAAGTCGCTCTAGCTCTCCTGTTGCCCCAGTGTTTTGCAAATTTGTACTTATATACAGGTACGCCTCTACTTACGAACATTTGACTTACAGAGATACGAACAAACCTGGTCCGTATGTCCAGTTGCCCGCTCGGATCGAGAGTCGTAAGTTCAACCACCCCGCAATAGATGACGGTGGTGGCATCTGCATCTGAAAAACGTGATGAAACAGTAGCGTCTACAAAAGATGATACAACTTTTAAAGCCATTCCCCGTGTTTAGTGTACATGCCGTACAACATTTTTGGAATCGACAGGAGTAAAGTTGGACTTACGAACAAATCCACTTACGAACAAACCTCTGGAACCGAACTCATTCGTAAGTGCAGCAGTCCCTGTACTCGATTCTGTTTTAGTGACTGGCTTACTTTGCACTCAACTATCGGCCGTTGTATTGTTGTTGTGACTTTCTGCCCGCTCCTGCTGGACAGCTGTGAAAAAAGATCTTCATAGCTCATCGAATTTCTCTCGTAGTCTTAATCAAGATTCTGATTTCTCACTCTGGGACTCCATCCTACGGCCATCCATATTGCTGAATCAACTACAAGCTCAGAGCTTTCCTGTTCTCCTACATTATACTTAATTTACCCATGCTGCTCATGTTTGCACGCAGGCCTGTTGAGATGCGGTTGCTTTTAAACACTGTGTAAATACAAATTGTATTGTATTGCGAGACCTCGCAGTCCACACACGAAGCCATCTTTCCACGTCTGCTTTCTCCATTCACCTGCGATAACGAGACATTTGACGAATGCTTAACACGAACAATTGCATCAGTCCCAGTCTTGTTGCAATGCCACAACCAAATAAGTCAAATTAATGTTTCACTTTTGGTGTCGGAGAAAGCTAAGCAGACCGACAGAAACCCTTTAAACCTTGCCCGCGACCTGTGTGTGTTTTGTCTTGCAACTAAAATTATCTATGGCATTGATAACCAGACAGCAACAACGGTCCCCTTTATTTTGGGCACAAATGAATTACGATTCACTGCACCGAGAATTTAGGAAGCCAGACTTGGGTGGAGAGAGTTGCCCTCTGTTGGATTTTTCACGTTTGTGCCAGAGGAAAGGGTTATATTTGTACGTATTGTGGGATGAATTGCAATTACAGAGACTCGATCATAGATAGACCTATGCTAAAAATGTTATAAGCTAAGGCTTGTCATAACTGAAATGCCATGAAGGTGCAAATGCATTAAAACAATCATACAGTTGCGAGAGAGCTGAGGAGTGTTAAGGATTCAATCGTCAGTCAATTGAATCATTTTGGCGGGACCCGGGGGTCCCGCAAAAATCAGGTCAATAACTTATTATTTTTCAGTCCGCCCACTACGTGATCCCTACAGCAACGCGCCGCCCGCCCAGACTTTTGCCAACAAGCGCCAGCAGGTGGCGATCAACACGATGGGTGCCACCCCACCGGCCAAACGCGAGCCCCGGGGGGCGTCCGCCGCAGTCGCGCGCGGCGACGACGCCCTCCGGTCAGCCGTCGATCCTCAGCTTCTTTGCCAAACCGAGCCCCCTGCCCCCCCCCCCCCCCCCCCCCCCCCCAGGCAGTGACTTTAACGTGTTTATGTAATTTTTCAACTTTTTACGAAACTCAGTGCACCGAGTAGCTCTCGACGAGGCCAACCGATTGACTACTAGTTTTGTTGTCGGTAAGGCAGCAAGACTCGTGTAGCCACGCGGTTTTTCCCAACCCGGGGCAGTGATGGGACCCCGGGGTCCCGCCAATTGCTTCAATTGTCAAAGTCAGAAAAATGTCCTTGCAGCTGTTTTTTTACATTCTTCAACTTTGTCCTGCTGTTCATTGCTTGTGTCACTAATATCTGCACTGTAGAACACCTGTACCGTCGTAGAACACCTATGAAATCGAGCCTAATAGCTCATTTTGGCCCTTCTTGCTGAAATAAATCGAATCTAAAATGGAACAATAATGAATATTCTCTCAGAAAATACAATAAAATGTATCCTTAGTTTAACTAGAAGATTTCAGGCCCACATCTCCTCGGTCCTGCAGAGGACTTGGGGGCATTTGGGCCTCAATTATAGCCTATGAAGCCTAACCTAAGGGCCTTAAATGCGATAGTAAAATCTAAACTACTCTAAGTAAGAAATGAATCGACAATAACGTTGAGGATGATTATTTTTGTTACTTCAAAAATATAATAATTTTACAAAATCTCTTGATAGACCACATTAATCCAAGCATTATCCATCTTTGTCCTGATACGAAGCCTTCTGAGCCAGAATCTTGATGGCTTTGCTGGATACAACATGCGAGTCTGTCACGTGTAATATTGTGCGTTGACTAAACACATGCCAGAAGGAAGGAAGATTCCCATTGTGTCTGCGGTGTTTGTCCTTGGCTCGTGTTGTCGGTGACTCCAAAAGCGTGGTGGCTGCGTTGCCGAACACGGGCTTGAAACCAAAATTTTCACACAAAAAATGGTTAGAAATATGGGATATAGTCAAATATATTCATGAAATATTCACCATTGTTCATGCTATATGTTAGAAAACAGTCCCTCAGTGCTATAAACTCAGAGGGCAAGAGTGTTAAGTGCAAAGTACAGGACTGAATGTACAATTTTTAACCAAAATTTACACAAAGCAATTTTTTAAATGAAAATGTTTAATTACGTTCCGGTGCTAAAGTGACTTAACATTTTGAAGAAGAAGAAGATAAATAAATAAATACTCACCGACTTTCGATTCCATTTCACATTAGAAACATCACTGTTCAAATGTGTTAGAGGAGTCAAGTGGGAAGATGTGTCCCAAATGAAGTTTCTGCGTCTTAAATCGAACCACGGCAACGTCATATAAGCGTCGCAAATGTGGGTCGTAAATCTGACCGAAGTAATGCTTCTCACTTGTTTTGTTCATCGCCCTAATTTTTTTGCTGACATTTCAAAATGCGTAAAGATCAATATTTCATTGATCATCAATGTCTAACGCCCTAGCCGCCACCGTCTCCCAGATGGCCGATGTTTACTCCACACCGCACCAGGTAAACCATTTGAGGCCGAGTCTACCTAGGGGAGGCCCAGCACAACGGTGTGAAAGTGATCGTCACCGGTGAGCGGGAATCGAACTCGGGTTGGCCAGGTTCGCAGCGCATACCCCAGTGGCGTAAGAACTTTACATTGTCAGCTTAGGGAGTCAGATGGGTCGGGTGATGAGGGTGGTGGTGCTGCAATCGGTCAGGGTGGGCCCCCCCCCAGTGCCCCCCTCCCCAACTTTGTGGGCCCCCCCCCCATAACCTTGTGGGCCCCCCCCCCAACTTTGTGATTTGTCTCCTCGCCCCGTCGCACCACGCCGTGGATATTCTCCATCGCGGCGGCTCCTCTCTTTACTGGATCGCATCGTCCTCACGGTCTCGAACATTTAACGCTGTAGGAAGGCGCGGTGTGGTGTGGTGTGGTAGGGGGCACAATCCGTCTTCGCAAAACAACGCAGCCTCGACGAAATTTAAAGCATTTTCATAAAAAAAAATGTTTAATGTAAACCGCGTTTTAAATGCGTTGTTCTTTTCTCACTGATGTTGCTTGTCAAGGGGGAGGGGGGGGGGAGGCCCCCCAAACTCGTAGCTTTGGCCACCAGGGGGACTTTGTGGGGGTGCTCCCCCTGCATGCCGCACGCCCCGGGAGGGGGTGCTGGGGGGAAGGGGGCCCACAGCTCCCCACGATCGCGATCAGCCCGACACTGCCACCTGCAGGGAGGAATGTCCACGTGCGAGCTGTGCGGAAGGGCGACGGGGACACGCGGACGCCCACGGCTTGGCGAGCTGCACGTCGCAACGCGGTACAGTGAGCGGCCACCGACTGTTTATACACCACGAGGCCTGCGTGGTGTAGTGTGTGGTGTGTAGTGTGTGTGTGGTGTGTAGTGTATGTGTGGTGTGTAGTGTGTAGTGTGTGTGTGGTGTGTAGTGTGTGGTGTGTAGTGTGTGTGTGGTGTGTAGTGTGTGTAGTGTGTGTGTGGTGTGTAGTGTGTGTGTGTAGTGTGTTTGTGGTGTGTAGTGTGTGTGGTGTGTAGGTGTGTGTGTAGTGTGTAGTGTGTTTGTGGTGTGTAGTGTGTGTAGTGTGTAGTGTGTTTGTGGTGTGTAGTGTGTGTGGTGTGTAGTGTGTGTGTAGTGTGTGTGGTGTGTAGTGTGTGTGTGGTGTGTAGTGTGTGGTGTGTAGTGTGTAGTGTGTTTGTGGTGTGTAGTGTGTGTGTAGTGTGTGTACTGTGTGTGGTGTGTAGTGTGTGTGTAGTGTGTGTAGTGTGTAGTGTGTTTGTGGTGTGTAGTGTGTGTAGTGTGTGTGGTGTGTAGTGTGTGTGGTGTGTAGTGTGTGGTGTGTAGTGTGTGGTGTGTAGTGTGTGGTGTAGTGTGTGTGTAGTGTGTGTGTGGTGTGTGGTGGTGTGTGTGGTGTGTAGTGTGTGTGTGTTTGTGTAGTGTGGTGTGTAGTGTGTGGTGTGTTTGTAGTGTGTAGTGTGTGTGTGGTGTGTAGTGTGTGTGTGGTGTGTAGTGTGTTTGTGGTGTGTAGTGTGTTTGTGGTGTGTGTGGTGTGTAGTGTGTGTTGTGTGTGGTGGTGTGTGTGGTGTGTAGTGTGTGTGTAGTGTGTGTGTGGTGTGTAGTGTGTGTGGTGTGTAGTGTGTGTGGTGTGTAGTGTGTGTGTGGTGTGTAGTGTGTAGTGTGTGTGTGGTGTGTAGTGTGTGGTGTGTAGTGTGTGTGTGGTGTGTAGTGTGTGTAGTGTGTGTGTGGTGTGTAGTGTGTGTGTGTAGTGTGTTTGTGGTGTGTAGTGTGTGTGGTGTGTAGGTGTGTGTGTGTAGTGTGTAGTGTGTTTGTGGTGTGTAGTGTGTGTAGTGTGTAGTGTGTTTGTGGTGTGTAGTGTGTGTGGTGTGTAGTGTGTGTGTAGTGTGTGTGGTGTGTAGTGTGTGGTGTGTGTGTGGTGTGTGGTGTGTGTGTGGTGTAGTGTGTGGTGTGTAGTGTGTGTGGTGTGTAGTGTGTGTGGTGTGTAGTGTTTGTGGTGTGTAGGTGTGTGTGTAGTGTGTGTGTGGTGTGTAGTGTGTGTAGTGTGTTTGTGGTGTGTAGTGTGTGTAGTGTGTGTGGTGTGTAGTGTGTGTGTAGTGTGTGTGGTGTGTAGTGTGTGGTGTGTGTGTGGTGTGTAGTGTGTGGTGTGTAGTGTGTTTGTGGTGTGTAGTGTGTGTGTAGTGTGTGTAGTGTGTGTGGTGTGTAGTGTGTGGTGGGTAGTGTGTGTGTGGTGTGTAGTGTGTTTGTGGTGTGTAGTGTGTGTAGAGTGTGTGGTGTGTAGTGTGTGTGGTGTGTGTGTGGTGTGTAGTGTGTGGTGTGTAGTGTGTGGTGTGTAGTGTGTAGTGTGTGGTGTAGTGTGTGTGTAGTGTGTGTGTGGTGTGTGGTGGTGTGTGTGGTGTGTAGTGTGTGTGTTTGTGTAGTGTGGTGTGTAGTGTGTGGTGTGTTTGTAGTGTGTAGTGTGTGTGTGGTGTGTAGTGTGTGTGTGGTGTGTAGTGTGTTTGTGGTGTGTAGTGTGTTTGTGGTGTGTAGTGTGTGTGGTGTGTAGTGTGTGTTGTGTGTGGTGGTGTGTGTGGTGTGTAGTGTGTGTGTTTGTGTGTGGTGTGTAGTGTGTTTGTGGTGTGTAGTGTGTGTGGTGTGTAGTGTGTGTAGTGTGTGGTGGTGTGTGTGGTGTGTAGTGTGTGTGTTTGTGTAGTGCGTGGTGTGTAGTGTGTGTGGTGTGTAGTGTGTGTTTGTGTGGTGTGTAGTGTGTGGTGTGTTTGTGGTGTGTAGTGTGTGGTGTAGTGTGTGTGTGATGTGTAGTGTGTTTGTGGTGTGTAGTGTGTTTGGTGTGTAGTGTGTTTGTGGTGTGTAGTGTGTGGTGGTGTGTGTGTTTGTGTAGTGTGGTGTGTAGTGTGTGTAGTGTGTGGTGTGTTTGTGGTGTGTAGTGTGTGTGTGTAGTGTGTAGTGTGTGTGTGGTGTGTAGTGTGTGTAGTGTGTGTGTGGTGTGTAGTGTGTTTGTGGTGTGTAGTGTGTTTGTGGTGTGTAGTGTGTGGTGGTGTGTGTGGTGTGTAGTGTGTGTGTTTGTGTAGTGCGTGGTGTGTAGTGTGTGTGATGTGTGTCTGTGGTGTGTAGTGTGTGTTTGTGTAGTGTGGTGTGTAGTGTGTGTAGTGTGTAGTGTGTTTGTGGTGTGTAGTGTGTGTGTGGTGTGTATGGTGTGTAGTGTGTGTAGTGTGTGTGTGGTGTGTAGTGTGTTTGTGGTGTGTAGTGTGTTTGTGGTGTGTAGTGTGTAGTGTGTGGTGGTGTGTGTGGTGTGTAGTGTGTGTGTTTGTGTAGTGTGTGTGGTGTGTGTGTGGTGTGTTGTGTGTGTTTGTGTAGTGTGTGTGGTGTGTAGTGTGTGCGGTGTGGTGTGTGTAATGTGTGTGTGCAGTGTGTAGTATGTGTGTGCATTGTGTAGTGTGTTTGTGCAGGGTGTGTGTTGTTTTTTTTGCAGTGTGTGTAATTAGTGTGCGGTGTGTGTAGTATGTGTGTGTAGTGTGTGCGGTGCGGCGTGTGTGCAGGGCGTTGTGTGTGTGCGGTGTGTAGTGTGTGTGTGCGGTGTGTAGTGTGTGTGTGCGGTGTGTAGTGTGTGTGTGCGGTGTGTAGTGTGTGTGTGCGGTGTGCGGGTGCGGTGTGTGTGTGTAGTGTGTGTGCAGTGTGGTGTGTAGTGTGTGTGTATGCAGTGTGTGTGTAGTGTGTGTGCAGTGTGGTGTGTAGTGTGTGTGGTGTGTGTTTGTGTGGTGTGTGTTTGTGTACTGTGCCGTGTGTAGTGTGTGTGTGTAGTGTGTGCGGTGTGTAGTGTGTGTGCGGTGTGTAGTGTGTGTGTGTAGTGTGTATGCGGTGTGTAGTGTGTGTGTGTAGTGTGTGTGCGGTGTGTAGTGTGTGTGCGGTGTGTAGTGTGTGTGTGCGGTGTGTAGTGTGTGTGTAGTGTGTGTGCGGTGTGTTTAGTGCGTGTGTAGTGTGTGTGTGTATTGTGTGTGTGGTGTGTGTGCGGTGCGGTGTGTGTGCGGTGTGTAGTGTGTGTGTAGTGTGTGTGTGGTGTGTGTGGTGTTTGTGTGGTGTGTGTAGTTTGTGTGTGTAGTGTGTGTGTGGTGGGTGTGCGGTGTGTATAGTGTGTGTGTGTGGTGTGTGTGTGCGGTGTGTGTGTGTGTGCGGTGTGTGTGTGTGTAGTGTGTGTGCGGTGTGTGTGTAGTGTGTGCGGTGTGTGTGTGTAGTGTGTGTGTGGTGTGTAGTGTTTGTGTGTGTAGTGTGTGTGTAGTGTGTGTGCGGTGTGTAGTGTGTGTGTGCGGTGTGTGTGTGTGGTCCACGCAGCCTCAAACGAGCACCTGGTGCGATGTCTAGTCAACATCGCCACTGGGGGAGACAAAGGCGGCCGGGCGTGGTGGCTGGCCAGCCCAAACCCAAACCCTGTCGTGCGCCGTGCCAGCCTTCAAGCGGCGCTGCTCGTGAAGAGCAGCACTCGGCCCCAGCAGGGCTGTGACAGGGGCCGACCACGAGGGATCTCTTGTTGTCTTTGTCGTCTGCCTCTGCGACTCCACGTTACTTGGCCGAGGCCTTTCCCGTGTCTCTCGATGCCAGAGGGCAAACGCAGAGGAGGTTGACATTCATCGTGACAGGTGGCGGCCCAAAAGCTGGGGAAAAATGTACTACCCCCCGCGGTTTGTAAATTGAGATGTGAATGGGTTCATAGTTTCATAGTTCCATTTATTTGGTAAAGCCCTGTGAGCCATTCGGCTCTTGAATCGGGTGCAACCGCAACAAACAAAAACACAAAAACACGAACAAGAAAAACATCTTAAAGTGACTTTGTGCATGTGCAAACAAAAATTCCAGGAAAAAACATCAAAAATATTCCTGAATGGGTAGGGTCATCGGGTAAGGTCATCAGGTAAGGTCATCGGGTAAGATCATCGGGTAAGGTCATCGGGTTAGGTCATTGGGTAAGGTCATTGGGTAAGGTCACCAGGTAAGGTCATTGGGTAAGGTCATTGGGTAAGGTCATCGGGTAAGGTCACCGTGGTCTGGGTAGTTGACCACCGTGCATTGGGCAGGAGTCATCGGCTAAATTGGAGAATCAATGGTTGTGACCTATAAGTAAGGAGAGCATATCGTGTGTGTGTATACAGGACGCTTTAAAAAAATGAAGATTCCAGGCAATGCGTTCACAATGGTGGCTAACAAGTGCAGACTCGTTGACTTTTTGAAGCTATTAACATTACATTTGTTATCATGTTACAGTGCATTATTCGCCATTCTTTTTCCATTAAAAACGATAGGCCCATATTAAGTGTGACATTTTTTTTTAAAGCACCCTGTAAATATCCTCGGCTTCAACCCACACGGACCAGCGTGGTGAAGTATGGTCAAACTCACCCCCCCCCCTTCCCCTGGCATGACCGACACAGCGTGGGGAAGGCCTGTCATCATCCAGCAGTGGATTGACAACAAAGGGTGGTAGATTGTTATTATTTAGACCACCACAGAACTGTGCCGTTGTGATACAAAGTGATGAATAATCCACAGGCTTATCGGAGAACGTACGCTGCCGGGTGGATTATTTTCATGGATTATTTTACATCCAGCAGTGGATTGGCTCATTATAATGAAGACAGTATTCGTGATGGTGTCGAAATGGGTAAATACAAAACGTGGGGAGTATAACACAAAGGCAAAGATCCCCCGTATAGCCTGCACAGACTGTAGGGGCAAGTGCTGTTAGCGAGCAGCACCTATGAAGGCCGGCACGGCACACGAGGTTGTGTGTGGCCAGCAACCACCACGCCAGGTCGCCTTTGTCTCCCCAGTGGCGATGTTTACACACCGAACCAGTTACTCATTTGAGGCTGAGTCGACCTATGGGAAGCCCAGTACAGGTTCAGCTAATCGTCACTGGTGTTCGCCGTGAGCGGGAATCGAACTCGGTTCTCCGGGTTTCGTAGCGCAGCGAGCTAACCGCTACCCTACCGCTCCCCACACACTATAACAGAGTATAGTACTACTACTACTACCGTACACAAGCATTACTATCAATGACCTTTATTTATACAGGGAGACCTCATGATAGGGTTTTGATGAAACAAAGTAAGTTGTGCCTTACGTGCGGGTGTTTATTTTGTGTTTTCGATGATTTAGCCTTCTAAAAAAAATCTGGCCATGTCTCGCACCCCCAGAAAGATCATTGCGCAGCCCCAGAAAGGTCATCACGCACCCCAGGTGAAGGACCTCCGCTTTAAGTGGATGACACAACGGTTTAACAACAGTTTTCTCTGCTGACATCTTTCCGGCCACCTCGTGAGCCCAGCGGGTTTGGATAGTTAAACACGCGCGTGATCCACCGACCCTCCTCGCCTCTGGTGGAATTTTAGTGTCAAGTCTTTAGAGTCAAGAGGATGCCATTTTAATGTTACTCCTAGTCTCGTCGACGAAAGCGGTGAAACATTAGTCCACTCTTTTATCATGTCAATATTATCAGGTCAGCCAATTAATGCATTCAGTAAATCATTTAATACAGTGTACATATCGTATCAATTGCCATGCAATCCACTGCAGCCTCTTATGATGTTTCTTAATTACGTTACTGATTTGTATTATATTATATTTGTATTAGGGGTCCACATCCTCATTCGTACGTTCTGACTCCTCAAAGTCAGGAACGCTGTTGTGTTTACTGTCAGTGGTAGGCATTGTCACGCTAGATGGTTTTCGTCCGCGCACAGTCAATCGTCGACGGAAATAAACACATGAAAACACATGTTGACAAGTATTTCCAGCACTCATGAAATGAGCAGAGCGAACACTGGTTACCCATTGCGATCGTGGGCGTACCACAGTCCACAGGTTCAAGCCCCGGAGCACTGAAGGATTTCCCAACTTGCCAAAAGACAAACACGAGAAGAGCGTGGCGTGGGACTTTGAGCCCTCGGTCCCCAGAGCGGGCCGCGCGCGATGCTTGGACCTGGCGCCCCCCGGCTGACGACACTGCTGCTGCCCCCGCCGCGGCGCCTCCTGCGCCTTCCATCTCGCGGCATCATCGACATGTCGTACACGCAGCACTTCGTGGAGGGCGGACGGCCGCTTCCGCGCTCGCACTCCAAGCTCGTGGTGACGGCGCTCAGCACCGACTTCCGCGAAGCCGTCCGGCTGCAGGAGGCGCCCGTGCCGAGCCCGGACAGCGACCAGGTGCTGGTGCGCAACAGGTAATGGTGGCCCGACGTCACAGCCAGTGCCTCTTTTTGCACGCACGTACGTACGTATGTGTGCACGTTGAACTTCTTTCGCACCATCGTACGTAGCCAACCGTGCTACTTGGAGGTGCTGGGAAGGGACAACAAACTAAACACAAAAAGCAGTTAAAGTTGTCCTTCCCTGCATCTCCGATTAGCACGGGTGGCTATGTACAGTGCGAAATAAATTCAACATGTACATACAAGGCAGTGCCCTATTGGGCTCTCACCTCTATGCTTGCCGCTTCCACAAGGCAGCACTGACAGCGTGGTGAAGTATGGTCATATAACAGCCGTGACTAACATGGCGTGGGAGGTCAACATCCTTACTTCACCACACTAGTCTGTGCGGGTTGGTAAAGGTCAGGGGATACTCAGTAACCTGCTCAGATATCACTCGCTACTGACTTTAACCATGGCCAGGAATCAAACTCATTGCGTTGGGTTTGTAGAGCAATGCTGTAACCACTGCACCACCGCTCCAACCCCATCCTATATACAGTACCAATTATTTCTGGCATTGGCTCATGTTCATAATCCTAAATAATTGCCCAGAGACCCAGGTGTAGTTGATGAAGTCTGTGTAATCTGTACCTCTAAAGCACTGGGTTACAGATGTGCACCCCTACTAATTATGCATATCCAGTTTCCAAATACAGTACAGCAGCTGGGATTCTCACATTTTAAACCTGAAACCTCTGGTGCTGGCTTGTGAAGGCGGCGAGCATAGAGGTGGGAGCACAATAAGACAGTTCCACTGCATTGTATGTATGTATGCTGAACTTCTTTCACACCGTACGTATCCAACCACGCGAATCGGAGGTGCGGGGAAAGGACAACAAACCAAACACAAGTCTCCTGCTACCCACCATTAATACAGTATGATGTAATATAAATTATAATAATGTACAGCCCTTTTTCAATACACTGCCGGACGATGGTGTCTCGATTCTATTTGAGTCATGGGAGTTTTTTCACCATACCTCGCCGTGCTGTCCGGTGAGTGCGGGTTGATGGTGCGAGAACCGCGTTGCCGGGTTGGTAGCAGCAGTGCGCTTACCGCCCCTTGGCGCAGGTTTGTGGGCATCAACGCGTCGGACATCAACTTCTCAGCGGGGCGCTACAACCCGCGCGTGCGCCCGCCGTTCGACGCGGGGCTGGAGGCGGTGGGCACGGTGGTGGCGCGAGGGCTGGCGGCGAGCGCGCGCTTCTCGCTGGGGCAGCCCGTCGCCTACGCCGTCGAGGGGGCCTTCGCCGAGTACAAGGTCGTCCCGACCGCCAGCATCTTCCCGCTGCCGGAGGTGCGTCGATCGCGTGCGCAGTGCGACGTCGCAACATCCGACCGTCGCTTATCTGCAGTGGCCGATTGACTGCCAACACCCAGTACGGTACTTGTGCGTGGTGTAGCTGTCAATCCTACAGATATTTACGAGCGCAGCCGTTTCACATATCCGCCTGTAACTTAGTCAACCGAATGTTGGATATGCGGCGTTGTACTAGACTATGTTATTATAATTCAGTGGTGGGGAATTTATGGCCCATGGGCCACATACAGCCCGCGACTATAATTCAGCACACGGGCACATGAGGCCTACGGCTTCAAAATGGCCTGCAAGCGATTTGTATCCTTCATTGCCAGTATCGACGGCGCACTAATCGGGTACTGGAGGTGAATGTTTTTGACTTGGCACATTAGCTGGCCCGTATTAGTGGCGAAAATTCCATAATCCTGTGGCTGTACCTGCTTGGCAAACCATCACGCAGAAAAGCCACGATCACCATTACAAATAATTAATGAAATTATAATATATATCCCTTTGTCAATTGTTTCACCGCCGAGAAATGTCATGTGGAACTCAAGGGGATTGCATACCACAGGTTAATTATCGTGGAACAAAGCGATCGAATAATTATTTTAAATACTTGCTGCACCGCTCCCCCAATGCCCACAAATGCAGACACTACGTCAACACAAATTGCGTCGCGTTTCACCTCGAAGGCGCCGCCAAGCAATCTCAACACGACCCAGACCATGTCCCCATAACCCCCCCCCCCCCCCCCCCCAAACTCTCTGAATGGCTCCCGTCACCAGCTGAAGGCCGAATACCTGACGCTGCCAGTGAGCGCCCTCACCGCGCTGCTCAGCCTGGAACGTTCCGCGGAGCTGCGCGCCGGCGAGTCCGTGCTGGTGACGGCCGCGGCCGGCGGCACGGGCCAGTTCGCCGTGCAGCTGTCGGCTCGCGCCGGGTGCCGCGTGCTCGGCACGTGCTCGTCGGACGAGAAGGCCGCCTTCCTCGCCACGCTCGGGTGCCACCGGCCCATCAACGTGCGCAAGGAGAGCCTCGCCAAAGTGCTCAAGGAGGTGCGAGGGGGTTTTCGACGGGGCGTGGGATTGCGGGGCCCTACGCATCTTGGGCTGCGTCGAGATTTTTCGCCGTTCTGGCCTTTCGGCTGACCATCCCACGTGGCGATGTTTTAAACGTCGCGCTAGGCACTTTGCGCGAGGTACACATTTGAGGCCGAGTCTGCCTAGGGGAGGTCCAGGACCGGTTTAAATAATCGTCACCGGTGTTGGCCACGAGCAGCAATCGAACTTGGGTCGCCAGGCTTGTAGCGCAGCGCGTTGATTACTACACCGCCGCTTCACACACACACACACGGACATTAAGCTGCATAAGGTGTACATTAGTGGAAACACCAGGAATCTGAGCGATTGCGTATGCCTATTCCCACGTCATTAAAAATGAACGTACCATTACAGCTCTTCACTTAATGCATTCCGTGTGCTCTTCAAAGCCCTTGCAGGTGAGATCTTAAATGGATAATTATCCCAGTTTAAAAGACGGTGACGCCGTATGCATTTCATGTATGTCTTGGCTACTAACACTGAATCAGAAAACATGCACTGTGGGCGCGTGGCATTCATATGTTTTTGGCGAACTGCTTTCCTTTGTAAATTGTCGATTTAAAAAAAAATAATTAATGTCAGCTGAGATGTTATCAATATCTCATTTGTAAAGGATGATTCGGGATCAAACAAAGGGAAAATTTATATTGCATATATGCTCATAATTCGTATAATTAAAATACATATCACCCATTCTTAAGACACCAATGGGTGATGGTTTCCCCAAGAAAAGTTTTGACCATACTTCACCACCATGGTCAGTGCGGGTTGGCGAGTTTGTAGGTTGCCAGGACAGGTTTATGATGTCACTTCCTGCTGATGTTAGCCATGGCCGGAAATTAAACTACGGTCAACAGGCTCATAGTGCAATACACTAACCACAGTGCCACCACTCGACCACGATTGGTATACTCAAAAACAAATTTGGCTGGCTGCAGGGAAGTGCGTGGGGGTGACATCATCCATACCCAGCTGTGTAATGACGTCACCCACATTGCACAACGCTGAGAAGGGTTCGTGCATGTTGACGTCACGCCTCTCACCCGTCCACCCACCCTCCACCCCAGCCGTATATCCCACGCGAATGTGCGGGCAGTGCTTACAAAAAAAATACGTCAAAAGAGGGAAGTGCAGCGTAATCTATGTCTTATGACCCAAATTTAATTCTGTAACATTTATATATTTTACGTAAGTGACATTAATTTTAAACATAAATGAATATCTACATCTGCGGACCTCCTTTGCCAGTACCAAAATATGAGAATAGGTTTTTCCCCTTCTTTTTTCTGGCAATAAAACAGGTGTTAATATGCTAAAATACCAAACTGAAACCTTTTACAAGGAATCATGTCTGCTATAAGCACAATACTTGTGGTCAGAATGCAAACAAAAAACATACTCTGATAACATACTCTAATTGTCCTTCAAACGGTGTTAGACCAGATGACGTCTTTTGGCACCTTTTGGCGTCCTCTGGTCTGACACCGTTTGAGACGAGGCTCAAAAGAAAGCTGCCCTCTGGTTTGGACCAGTCAGTTTCAAAGACAATGCATATATTATCAGAGTACGTTTTTTGTTTGCATTCTGACCACAAGTATTGTGGTTAATGCAGACATGATTCCTTGTAAAAGGTTTAAGTTTGGTGTTTTAACATCTTAACACATAAATTTTGATTTAAAGCTTTCGTGACTGCAGGGATTCATATTCTTGGTTCTTTCGGTAAAGTCACGTGAGAAGGGAAACAATAAAATAATAAAAATATAAAACAATACAATTCTCACGACGTTTCGACTGCAACACAAGCAATCATCATCAGGTGTGAAAAGCACAGCAAGAAAATTTGAAAAAAAAAACGTCGTGAGAATTTTATTGTTTATATTTTTATTATTTTATTGTTTCCCTTCTACGTGACTTTACCGAAAGAACCAATAACATCTTAACACCTGTTTTGTTGCCAGAAAAAAAGGGGAAACCCCTATTAACATAAATGAATATGTAAATGAAAACAAAGTGTTGAGTAAATTAATTGGGGAGGTGAGGGGTCACAAGACATGGACCAACCTGTACTGTACCACCATGTCTATGCTTCCTGCCTTCACAAGTTGCACTGACCAGCATGGTGAAGTATGGTCAAACTACCCCCATGACCCACATGGCAGGGAGAGGCCCTCATCCAACAGTGAATTGGCAAACTGCTGCATATGTCATGTTTCCTTTTTTTTCTTACCCAGGACAGTCTCACTGAGTCAAAAAAATCATTTTCATGGAGGGCCCAGGTTGAGATAGTTGCCATTTTTTCCATGATATGTTTTTTTCAGGATACGAAGCAATTATTTATCAGACAATCATTGCTGTATCACTTTCCCCTGCACTGTTTTAATTGTATTTGACATTTTTTCTTCCCATTGCCGTACTTCCAGTATGAATAATGGTTACTTAAAAGCTCTCTAACAGCAGAATACTCAACGTGGCATAAATCTTTCAATGATGACAACTTTACAGCCTGTAACGTGCACGACGCACACGCTCTCTATTACACGAATAATTATATAATTACGTGCATCTCAAATATAATGTCGTCTTACAACCACCACGCCATAAATTACTACAAACACCTTTTTTGGAAGGTACTCATTTAATGGTTAATAACTATTTTGTAATGTACAATACAAGCCGAGATATGATATATTGTAAATGGACAATACGATTTTCATGCACTTTACATCGTACTTTATCACAGTGTCGTCAAATCATGAAAACCCTCGTGCCAAATCACAACGCGTCGGTGCACCACCACCATTTGCGAAATAAGTGACGTTTGGAGTGCTGTGTAAAGGTAAGGCTCGCTGAGCTATACAGCTCTTTTTCAGAAGCGACCTGGCCACAAGTTATCGCGAAATGAAGTGGCTTATCATGTGGGAATTTATAGGAGCCAAATACTCTCATACGCACGTTGATTTTAAATGTTTCGGGGGGAAAAAAACGGAGGATCCGGAGAAAAATCCACGCAACCACGGGGAGAGAGGCATGCAAACTCCAAATATACAGCAGGCGTCAGGGTCGGGATCCAATCCATGACCGCCTGCATACCAGGCGAGGTAGTTAACATCTCGCCACCGCGGCACCCTACTGTCAGTGCGACGTGTGTTGCCGTTTCTCCCATCCTCAGGAGTGCCCCAAGGGCGTGAACGTGGTGTACGAATCGGTGGGCGGCGACACGTTCGAGACGGCCGTCAACAGCCTGGCGGTGGGCGGCCGCCTCATAATCATCGGCTACATCGAGGGCTACCGGGCAGAAGCGGGCAGCGCCGGCGGTGACAAAAAAACAAAATCCGCCAGGGTCCTGCCGAGCGTCCAGGCGCACCTGCTGGTGAAGTCGGCGAGCGTGCGCGGGTTCTTCCTGCCGCACTTCGTGGCGGAGCACGGGGCCGGGGTGGAGCGGCTGGCGGGCATGGTGCGACGCGGCGAGCTGCTGGCGGCGGTCGACGGCGGCGCCGCCACGGACGGCGGGCCGTTCCGCGGGCTGGGTGACGTCCACCGCGCCGTCGAGCACCTGTACTCGCGCCGGAGCCTCGGCAAGGTCGTGGTGGAGCTGCCGGATTCGCCCGCGGCCAAGCTGTAGTGGCAGTTAGTCGACGGGCAGGGTCGTGTGTGGTGTGGTCGGTAGAGGGCGGGTACTCTCCCTCGCCTCTCCCAAGACTTTGCAAGACGTGAAACAGTACGTCTAAGGACCCTCTAGAGGAATACTCTAGAGCTTCGTCGAGTGAAGGCCTATCTGCCAGCAGTGGTGTGTGCAAGTACTTGCAGGGCTACAACGTTACCTTCACCAAGCTGTAGCTTATGTTGGTTCTGACTGGAACTCGGGAGGGCTTCAGAGTTTTTTGGCAAAGTAAGCTTTGAGGGATGGTGCGTTAGCGGGCGCCCCTAGCATCGGCGGACGGCAGTGAGAACACAGTGTGAGGTGGGCAAGTGGTGAAAGAGGAGGCAATGGTGCAGAGTTAGAGGTTCTAGATGCTTGAGAATGTTGTGTGTGGATGTGAGCATGACCAGATGCGTGAGAGTTATGCGTGTGGTGAGCGCGAGCGTAAGTGGGTATTGTGGGTGGTTGGTGGTGGAGAGTTATGGCTGTGAGTGCACGTTATGTGTGTTTTAACGTGATCATCTGGGAGGGCTTGGAGTGCGTGCTGGAGACTTGACGGACATGATGCAACAAAATGGATATCTAGGTTTTCGGACAGAATATGAATCCATTGGTCCGACGTGATTGCAGTTACAATTATTTGCAGAGATGGCTCAATGATTCGTCTACAGGAATCGAACTCAACTCAATGTAGTGGAGTGAACACTGACTACTTGCCGACAAAACTAACAATGCAGCTGCAGAATATTTTTTAACTGTGTATGCCAAGCATGCCGTTATAGTAATTGGCTCATTACTCAGTATGTAATTGCCTGTGTCTTAATGTCAAACTTGCCTACAGTTTGATTTAGCCAGGGTCTGCCAGTGATTGCAAGCCGAACGCAATTACCAGCGTGTATACAATTAACTAGATAAGGGTGAATAAGCACTGTGATATAATGTTTGAAGAGTTATTTGCTAAAGCGTGTTTGACACTTGCTTTTTGAATGCACACACACACGCAAGTACACGAAACATTGGGATGCAATGTCTAAAAAAGAAGATGGTCTGTAATTGGGAACCGCACCGACAGGAGACGGATGAGCTCGCAGGAGACGAACACATTCTTAGTTCACCCACGAGAGGGCCAACGCCCCTGTCGGCATCGCCTAGGAAAGAATTCAAGTAAGACTTCATGGTATGTAAATGTCAAAAATAAAAGTCTTAGTAATTAGATAGGTACTAATTAGATAGGTACTTTGGCCATCAGTCCACTTTTTGGAGGAATGTTATCATGGAAAATAAGGATTATTTTGCAACTTGCTGTTGATGCTGATAGACGCACCATCGTCGTCATTTCCAACATCGTCATTGTTGTTTTTAAGTGGCGCTAAGCTGCCTTTGCCCTACTATCCGTAGCTCGCTGGGAGGGCAGAACAAGTTACTCCTGCACACAACAAACGCCAACCCAGATGTGCGCAGCAGGACTAGTAGCTGCATTCAATCGAAACCAACTTTTCAGGGACATTTAAAGGCCCCCACCGCTTTCGCCCGGCTTTCAAATAATACTTGAGCCTGGCTCCGTGCCTCAAGTCAAGGTCATTTATGTCTGAAATATTGGGCGCGTTATCATTTGTATAATTATAAATGTGTTTTTATTTGTGTGTGAGACGAAGTCTGGTTGGTTGGCTCGTTCCGTCCACGGGATTTTGCGTGCCGACATCAGCAAGTACATGCCTCGGTGGCAGTGGGGAATTCAGCCAACGCCAAAATTCCACAAAAGTGACAAATATTATGTGAATGGGGCCACAGAAGCCTCTTTCAAGGTTAGAGCTCGTTTAGAGTAAAACTGGAGATCCCAAATTGTATACAGAATTTGGAAATTTAAAAAATCGCTGTTTGAAAAAGTAGTTTTCAAAATTAACAAACTTACCGAATAAAACGTTAAAAATAAAACTTGACAAAGAAACGTGATCTCCGCATTGTTTGATTTACCTTTTTTAAACGTCCACATTTGTGCTCGCCAATAAATGAACGAGAACCTATTGAAACTTTTGGTGAGATGTAATGGATTGTCAAAGTGGTGTAGTGTGTGGTGTTTGTTTTTTTCCGAGCCTCATCACTGCCAAGACGACGAGCAGCCCGGGGCGTGCGTGGCGTTGGCCACCCCAACACCGCCGTCGCACTGTGGGCTATAGTCCTCATTGGCCACGGGTGTAGTGGGAGATGGCCACATCTGCCGTGCGATGTTCTGATGTGGCTCAGTGCAGTTCGTGGGGTGAGTTGAAATGGAGGATGTTCTTCTGTTGGGGTGGGCGATGACGTTCCCGTTAGGGTTGTTACCATTGTCACAGGGTGCTCTGCACCGTGCCTCCTGGTGAACTCGAGCCCAAATTAAAATATTTACATGTGTCCGTGGCCCCATTATGCCAAAAGCAGAGCCCTATTCCTGGTTATTAATAGCCGCGTGACTCTCGCCCAAATTCTTTATTTAAAACTCCGTGAAAACCCCATGACAATATTGCGAAGACTCATTTGTAAGGGTGGTCTCATAACGCTGCTCGGTGAAGTCTTATTACGCAAGATTATATTTTCCGCATGAGAGTTGATGGTAAATTTCAAAGCGGAAAGGGGCTGACGTGATATTTGTACGGACATCAATCCACTGCTGGATGGGTCATCCTCCATACCATGGGGGTTATTTCACCATACTTCACGCTGGCAAGTGCAGGATGAATACAGGGAACATATAAGTATAGGACAACAATAATTTTTGTTGTTGCACTGTCCTATGCTCCCCACCATGTAGTTCGGTTTGCATGGTCACCCATCGAACCATTATCCAGGCTCAGATCTGCTTAGCTTCCGATATCCGACTAGATCAGGTCATAACGTTAACACTGTTTCAATGTGAACTTTACCACTAATGGTGAGCCTTAGTAATGACCCATAGCATCACTTTGTCTTGGTGGAATGCGAACTGGCCTAAACAAGTATATTTCCCCTCTAGGGCAGTGGGGGGTGCGAGACATGGCTAGATGTTTTAGAAGGTAAATAATCGAAAAAATGTATTTGGTTCTTTCGGTAAAGTCACAGAAAAAATAACAGATCACGACGTTTCGATCGCAACACAAGCAACCGTCATCAAGTGTGAAACAAACAGCAGGAGGGCTGCTGACGTAGGAGAAAGAGCTGCTGCAACAAGAGTTTATATAGGAATTTTGGTGGGCTCAACCCAAGGGTGAGTGGACGGAGCTAGAGAAGGAATTTGTACGTAGATCTGGATTTGAAGCTGTAAATGTGAGATATTATCATGTCAATGTGGGACAGCCCAGCCACTGGAGGTGTCCCAATGAGAAGATTATCATGTCAATGTGAGACTGCTCAGCCATTGGAGGCGTCCCAATGAGAAGATTAGCATGTCACTGTGAGACTGTCCAGCCATTGGAGGTGTCCCAATGAGAAGATTAGCATGTCAATGTGAGACTGCTCAGCCATTGGAGGTGTCCCAATGAGAAGATTAGCATGTCAGTGTGAGACTGCCCAGCCATTGGAGGTGTCCCAATGAGAAGATTAGCATGTCAGTGTGAGACTGCCCAGCCATTGGAGGTGTCCCAATGAGAAGATTATCATGTCAATGTGAGACTGCTCAGCCATTGGAGGCGTCCCAATGAGAAGATTAGCATGTCACTGTGAGACTGCTCAGCCATTGGAGGTGTCCCAATGAGAAGATTAGCATGTCAATGTGAGACTGTCCAGCCACCGGAGGTGTCCCAATGAGAAGATTAGCATGTCAATGTGAGACTGTCCAGCCACCGGAGGTGTGCCAATGAGAAGATTAGCATGTCAATGTGAGACTGCCCAGCCACCGGAGGTGTCCCAATGAGAAGATTATCATGTCAATGTGAGAGTGCCCAGCCATTGGAGGTGTCCCAATGAGAAGATTAGCATGTCAATGTGAGACTGCCCAGCCACCGGAGGTGTCCCAATGAGAAGATTAGCATGTCAGTGTGAGACTGTCCAGCCATTGGAGGCGTCCCAATGAGAAGATTAGCTTGTCAGTGTGAGACTGTCCAGCCACCGGAGGTGTCCAATGAGAAGATTAGCATGTCAATGTGAGACTGTCCAGCCACCGGAGGTGTCCCAATGAGAAGATTAGCATGTCAGTGTGAGACTGCTCAGCCATTGGAGGTGTCCCAATGAGAAGATTAGCATGTCAATGTGTGACTGTCCAGCCACCGGAGGTGTCCAATGAGAAGATTAGCATGTCAATGTGAGACTGTCCAGCCACCGGAGGTGTGCCAATGAGAAGATTAGCATGTCAATGTGAGACTGTCCAGCCATTGGAGGTGTCCCAATGAGAAGATTAGCATGTCAATGTCAGAGAGCCGGGCAACAGGAACAAAACACTTAAGCACGGGCACTTAAGTACAACTACTTTTTTCATCAAACATATATGTATTTATCAACATGCATTTTTTTTTTTTTACGATTGAGAACCGAAGGGGTGCAGGCTGCAGTAGAACGTGAAGAACCACTGCTCTGGGGTATTCAGCTGACGAAATGAACCATTAATCAAAACTGTTGCATTAACGCTGTAAATGTGATGCAAGTTCATGCGTCGGTGAATCGGGTTTCAAAGGTTTCCATGGATTTATTTACCAAGAGGCCAGAATCATTACCTTCGAGCCATCTTTATTGTGTGAAAAATAAATATGCCGTAGCGTACCATACCACACAACCGAAACACAACAAACAATGTAACTATGCATTTCGCTTCTAGGATATTTAGCATTATAAACTAAGGCTATTTTTATGACTATGGTTACTTTTTGATTTAAAGCTTTCATGACTGCAGGGATTCATATTCTTGGTTCTTTCGTAAGAATTTTATTGTTTTATATTTTTATTATTTTATTGTTTCCCTTCTACGTGACTTTACCGAAGGAACCAAGAATATGGTTACTTTTATAAGTGTGATTTTTTTTTTTACAATATGTAGCATAATCTCCTACTGTAAGATATCCACCCCAAGCAAAGGAACCATCCACACCCAGTTGTCTTTGTGTAGCTCTCATTTTCTCGAGACGTTCACAAATTCCAAAAGAAAGCTGTCTCTGGTGTGGACCAATCAGTTTCAAAGACAATGCATATATTATCAGAGTATGTTTTTTGTTTGCATTCTGACCACAAGTATTGTGGTTAATGCAGACATGATTCCTTGTAAAAGGTGTTTTCTTGTTGCCAAAAAAAAGAGGGTGAAAAAACCTATTCTCAAATTCCACCTTTTCACACAGTGCAGTCCTCTTTGTCCTTAATATTTTCACATATCCGCTCGTACCTGAGTCCTCAGCGAGTCGAGTTTGCGACATAACAAAAGCGTAATTGTTTGAAAAGGTGTGGATACGAGACCAAAACTGTAATGTTCAGTATAAAAAAAAATACTATTCAAATCTTCCCCCCCCCCTACTCATAATACATGGGCCAGTTGCGTCGTGAATGTCGCATTTGAATGATGTCGTTGGGCCGAACGAGTCTCGCAGGCAACCGTCGTGGGCTCGTGCTTTTTATTAAATTGGAAAAAAGCACGACAATTTTAGTCATGAAAATTGTCAGCGATTTTTCTTAACTACCAAAATAATTACGTGCCAAATTCCTAAAAGGTTCATTGGGATTGGTATATTGTTCAAACTTTCTCATTTTCGGTGGCAGGTAACCAGCGCAATTTGACGAATATTCCCAGGTATTTTTTTCATACTTTTAATTTGTACACTTTCCCTGCAAAGCAAATCATAAATTATCACGTATTTTAATTTAGTCGCTTGCTGATCATTCTCTCCAATTTACACTGCTATAGTTCTTTTTGTATTGTTCGCTGTCGTAACTTGCTGACCCCGTGCCCATACCGGACACCCGTGAAAAAAAAGCTTCATAGCTCATCGGATTCCTCCTGCAGCGGTCCAAACAAAGATTCATCGTAGACGCAAGCAGCGATGCTGTTGGTGTTTATGCTCACAGCATCGCCTTTCTTCTGTACTCTCCCCTCCGGCCCAGATCCAAGAGAAGTGTTTTGCTTTTTTCGTTTATTATTTTCATTTCCAGGACTGCTCTTGCAAATTATTGCTGCTGTTTAACATTTGGAGTGAGACTCAGGCAGAAAAATATTAATGGCTTTGTAGATATCTTGATTTGCTGTCGCCTGGGCTATCCGATGTATTTGACGCTTCGTTAATGAGAATCCTAAAGGTACTGGGTCAAGTGTCATTATGCCACCCAGGTGGTGTGTATATGCATTAACATTTTAACAACGAATCGGAGTAACGCCACGCGTGCCAAAATTGCATTTATAACGGCAGTCATTTTCCATTAACAAAGCGTTTAATCTGTGTGGATCAAGCCCCAACACACACAGCTTAGCAGTGGGTCTGCGAGCGTGGAGCTGTGTTTTTTGGTTGTGTTTTAATGGGAAATCACAGTTTGTGTCGACAAGCGCTGGTACTGCAAGTCTAAGATCCACTCACACTGTGGAAAGCGTTGACCTTCAACAGAGTGCAGGGTTCTTGTGAACGGGCTGATAACTTCACTTGAAACGACAGTTCGGGATGGAAACCGGTAGGGATTTTATCTTGAGCCGGTCAGCAAGTACAGCAAGTAATTGAATTAAATGAATTACGACATTTTCAACATTGTTCTGTGAATTGTTACATGGCCATTAAATATATACGAGTCGCAGTCTTGTACTAAACAGTTTCTGGTTGTCTATTTCATTATCATGCAAACAGTGTTCCGGCTAGAGCTTTTTCGAGGTGAGTTTTAAATGTTTGTTTCTGGTAACCCGATGGCTTACCAGAAATTGCAGCTTACTCAAGTCTGGCGTGGAGAGATGTTATTGTGTATTCTTGTGCAAAATGCCGATACGCATTGGGAAACATTCTAATGAAAATAAATGTTTTAGGGATTTTATCAGCACGGAATTTTAAATACTAAAGCACGCCCGTGCCTGTAGGCACACCGTAAGAGGCTCATGCAAATTGCATCTCACAATCGCTGGATAGGAACCACAGACCAAAACTATAAGACTTCCAGACAATGAGTTAGCGCCAACAATTGCTCTGCAGTTCTCTATATATTAAGATGTTTTCAGCCAATTATGGAGTGTGCATACACGTGGGAAGAGACCGGAGCACCTGGAGAGCTCCCGCGCATGCGAGGGAGCAACACTCCATCCCATACAGAATGGACATATGATCATTAGTCGCAAGCCAGGGGAAGGCACCCCAACGCCCACGGGTAAGTGGGTGTCACAACATTTGTGCGATCTACAAACCCTCGCCTCCACAGGGCTGGATTAACTGGCGTGCGTCGCCACCACGACCCGGCTGAACTTTCGTTCATGGCGGCTTTGGTGGCTGCTTAAGTTTCCACTGCATCAAATGTCTTTTAATGAGAATACTGTAATCACAAAAAAACAGACATCTGTAAAACAATGAGGGAAAGATTACGACGTTAATCAGAGAACAACACCCTAAAGCAATAGCGGATGTTCTCATAAACAATGGGAGCACGCGAAAAGGAAAATGATGATAAGTAAAGCTTAAACGCTATGCTTTAGAGAGCAAGTTTCAACAATAATATATGATAAGAGACTGAATTGTAAAACTAGTGAAAACAAAGTACCCAGATGACGATAGACATTCAGAAATTGAGAATCGTTATTCTTCAATCCGTGGGGAAGCGATGGTGCAGTGGCAAACATCCTTCACTTTGATTCTGGAAAACCAATTTTTGTTCCCCACTATAACCAACATCAGTGGTGGGTGATATCTGAACCGGTCTTGGGCCCTCCATCTTCACCAACCCACGCTAAACAAAACATGGCCACGAATGCTCAACTCCCCATGACAAAGGGCCCTAAATGTGGCAATAACATACGGTAAAGAGTGTTGTTCCCGCTATGAATGTCCACGTGGTTTGCATCCCCAAGTCACAACATCCTGAAGCAAGTATGACAACTTTAAGGGCACCACAGTGACGAGGTGTGAACTACATCGCCTGGTATTAAGGGGCTGTCCATAAATGACGTCACGCACCTAGGGGGGTGGGGGGGGGCGGTCAGACATTTGTGACGATGTGTGACGAGGGGGGGGGGGGGTTGAGAAATGTGACGTCACATCAAAATGCGCAACTTTAAATATAGACAACACGTTCTACTTAATGAAATATACTTTTTAATAAATGTTTTCTCCTACAACATCAGAGTGCAGCGGCACATTAAATACGCACTACAATGACAATAGTTTAAAGCGATTTGAAGCATGTTTTATTTTGGGGGGGGGGGGCAGAGCTTTGTGACGTCATATTTGAGGGGGGGGTCTGACTTTTTGTGAAGCCGTGTGACGAAGGGGGGGGGGGTCAAAAATCTCCAAAATCGCGTGACGTCATTTATGGACGGCCCCGAAGGAGGTGGGTTCGATCCCGACCACTGACTCCTGCTGTATATTTTGAGTTTGCATGTCTCTCCCCTGCCCCCCCTCCCCAACATTTAGAAACATGCGTTTAGAATATTTGGCTGCTTCCTCTTTGGTTCTTTTGGTAAAGTCACGTAGAATGAGAATAACATAATAATACAATAAATTGATCAAATAACACAATAAGAATTTTATTGTGTTATTTTATCAATTTATTATTTTATTCTCATTCTACGTGACTTTACCGAAAGAACCAAAGAAGATGAATCCTTGCAGTCACGAAAGCTTTAAATCGAAATTTATTTGGCTGCTACAAATGTCCACATCATGCGCCACTTCGTTGAGCTATCATTCGTGGCCAAGTGGCTTCTAAAAAAAGAGCAATATATAAAACGTTTAGTTTGAAATGATATTATTTTTTTATGAACGTCTTACCACATGTACGTACATTGCTAACGATGTTACACGCTAATAATGAGGGGCCAAACAACCACATGAGCGAGCTGCATTTAGGAAACAAAGATTAACGTCATTGTGGAGAATAAGCTACGTCACGACATAGATAAGCAGACGAACTTTTGTTTACGTGGAACAAAACAGATATACCCTTTGAAGGAGACAGTCCTACACTATTATTGTCTGTTTTGTTACGAATTCTCAGCTTTGATTTAATCAAATGCTGCTGAATTGCCACGAGCCGACACATATCGTCGCAGAGAGATGCCTGAGTATTTAATTCCACCAGAGGGCACTGTTCCACCACAAGCCTACGGGAAGTGGGTGGTGGTGAGTGGGTTGGCGGGTGGATGAGTGGTGAGTGGTTGAGGTGGTGAATGAGTGGTGAGTGGATGGGTGGAAGAGTGGTGAGTGGCTGGGTGGATGAGTGGTGAGTGGATGGATGAGTGGGTGGGTGGATGAGTGGTGAGTGGGTGGATGAGTGGTGAGTGAATGGGGTGGGTGAATGAGTGGTGAGTGGGTGGAAGAGTGGTGAGTGGCTGGGTGGATGAGTGGCGAGTGGGTGGATGAGTGGGTGGGTGGATGAGTGGTGAGTGGGTGGAAGAGTGGTGAGTGGCTGGGTGGGTGGATGAGTGGCGAGTGGGTGGATGAGTGATGAGTGGGTGGATGAGTGATGAGTGGGTGCATGAGTGGTGAGTGGGTGGGTGAGGGGTGGGTGATTGAGTGGTGACTGGGTGGAAACTCAAAACCCAACTATGTAAATATTCACAATTCTCCACCCCATTCGAACGTTCCTTTCCGGATATTTGAGGCAGCAGGCCAGGCCCACTCATGCCCGTGCTTAAGGCGTGGCAATGGGTGATCTCATTCTTACAACTGTTTAACGCACTTTTACACACACACCGCACATGAGTATGTGTAGATGTGCTTGTGCCTTGGTGTGGTGAGCTTCAAGGTGTGCCGTTGTGTGTTGGGGCGTCCCCGTTCAAAGCTGTTCAGTGACAGAGAACAATTTGGAAACTTGGATCTTAACCAGAAAACAAGAAGGTGAGCTGTTGTTGCTGCTGCTGCTGCTACAGCGTGCGTGTGTGAACGATACAGTACATTAAGAGCATACACGACACTGTGTTAACTAACGCAGCTGAGCGAGTCACTTGCATTGCTTCGGTGCTGTTGTGAGATCGCAGACTGATGGACAGTGGTTTGATGAGCAAGTAAAGGCTTGTCTGGCTGGATCTGTTGAAGACTCGCCTGCTGACTGAAACTTTTGTGTTTCTATTGAAGTTTAGGTGTTCGTGATGGCGGTAGGGAAGCGGTAGTGATGGTTGGGGAGCGGTGGTGGTTAGTGGTGGTGGTGAAAGAAGTGGTGGTCGAGCAGAGTAAATGGTGATGGTGGAGCAGTGATGATGGTGGTGCAGTGGTGGAGCGATGGTGGTGGTGGTGGCGGAGCGGTGGTGCAGTGGTTAGCGCTACGCTGCGCTACGAACTCGGTAACCCGAGTTCGATTCCCGCTCATGGCCACCACCAGTGACGATTATCTGAACCGGTCCTGGGCCTCCCCCTAGGTCGACCCAGCCTCAAATGAGTACCTGGTACGATGTCTAGTCAACATCGCTACGAGGGAGACAAAGGCGGCCGGGCGTGGTTGCTGGCCACCCCACCCACCCCTCGTGTGCCGTTCCGGCCTTCACAGGTGCTCGCTAACAGCACTTGCCCCTACAGTTTGTCACAGGCTACACGGGGGGTCTTTGTCTTTGGTGTGTGGGGGGGGGGCGCTGTGGTGAAGGCATCGCGCTGACGGAGCCGGCGACGCTCCTGCGCCTGAGTTCGATCCCCGGCTCACGGGCGAACACCCAGATCGGTACTGGCCGGGGGGGGGGGGGGAGGATGGAGCTGTGCCCCTAGGTCGACTCGGCCTCAAATGAGTGAAGTAACCGGGGATGTTCGCAGAGGGGAGACAAAGGCGGCCGGGCGTGGCGTAGCGCTGCCCCCTAAGCCGCTTTTAACTCCCCAGCGCTGCGTTTAATTGTCCGCTCAGGAGGGCACGCGTTTAAGAAACGATGTTGCTGGCGTTCCTGGGATGCGTTGCCGCGTTGTTGAGAGAGATTCACAACAACAACAACAAACCACACAACAACAACAACGCAACAGCAGGGACACGCGTGGAGTTACTGCGCGAGTCGTGACGTCACATCAAAACGCGCAACTTTAAATAAATATAGAATTGTTATAACAATTAGTGTTATAACAACACTTTTACAACATCGGAGTGCAGCGCCACGTTAAATGCGCACTACAATGACAATAGTTTAAGGCGATGTGAAGCATGTTTTATTTTCAAAATGGGAATGTGTTTTTTAGGGGGGGGGGGGGCAGAGCTTTGTGACGTCATATTTAAGGGGGGGGGTTTGACTTTTTATGACGCCGTGTGACGACAGGGGGGGGGGTCAAAAATCGTCAAAAATCGCGTGACGTCATTTATGGACGGCCCCATTGGCGTAAGACGTTGAAGGGTTATCCAATCCGTCTGTCCTGGCCGCTGTGCTGGTTCGACGTTTCAGATCGGGGGGAGTTACCGTAGGCAGCGTTCGAGTGCGGTGGGACTTGCCCCCAACAACAATTCCATCATAATACTCTTTGGTTCTTTCGATAAAGTCACGTAGGTATGAAATAAATCACACGACGTTTCGGACGCAACACCAAGCGTCCGTCGTCACGCTTTCCCGCCCGAAACGTCGCGTGCTTTATTTTACTTTCAGAGTATGGATTCCTACAGTGACGAGAGCTTCAAATCAAGGTTGCAGAAACGCCGGTAGGCCTCGCGTTCAACGAAGCCCTCGTGTTCGTTTTGGGTTTCGGGTTGTGAGACAACCCATGAGCTTGGCCACAGGTAGAGACAGGGGAGCCTGCCCCCCTACAGCAGCGCTGTTCAAACCCTTAATCAGTGGACACCCCTAGCTGCCACTGCTATTCATTGGCGTCAAATAAAATGTTTCGCTCCGGATGACGCCGCAAAGTATTATCTGTATTTTTTTTTAATTTAGCGTGCTGATCTTAAAAGGTGCATTGAAAAGTTTGATACTCCGACCGATGCTTCTGTTGTTGTGGAGTAACTCGCGCAGCCAGCTATGGCTCTAGGATTTTGGTGTTACATGTTATTTATGTAGTTTATTGTTAAAAAAAATTCGGTCACAGTCCCTGTGATCGCTGTTACGTTGCAATTATGGCTTTATTTTTTGGTGATTTCGAAAACGTTTTTTTGGTTTGGACATGTTTGTTTTGTTGTAGTACGGAGTTAGACTGATGGCCTTAATCTAAGTTTTCTTGTGGTTGTTGTTGTTTGACTTGCATCCCACTGGGATTTTTTGCACACAGCGTTGGTGTACGGTGCTTTTTTCAGGAATATTTTTTGCTGTTTTTTTTCATGGATTTTCTGTTTGCACAGTCACACAAAGTCACTTTAAGATGTTTTTCTTGTTCGTGTTTTTGTGTTTGTTGTGGTTGCACCCGATTCCAGAGCCGAATGGCTCACAGGGCTATACCAAAATAAATAAACTAAAAAAACTAAATAAACCTTTATCAGTGCCCTACCTTATTAAACTAAATAAACCTTTATCAGTGCCCAACCTTATTAAAGACCAATTTAGACTGTATTTTGTCACCCCGTGCCTGTTATAAATCTCGGCGTTCATCCTACAAGGTCCCCATCACAAGGAGAGAAACACAAATAGACAATGAATCTTGAATTAAAGCTTTCGTGACTGCAGGAATTCATATTCTTAAGGTCTTTCGGTAAAGTCACGTAGATTGGTTCAAAGAAAATTAAAAAGATGACGACGTTTCGATCTCAAGGCAAGCGGTCGTCATCGGGAGGAAAAGAGAGGAAAGCTGCTGAGGCAGAGACTGTTTTAAAGGTTTAAAATTGGTGGAGCCCAAGGGTCATAAAGGAAGTGGGCGGGGCTAGTTATGTTAATGTGATAAATTAGCATATTAATGGAGGGTTCGCGGAGTCAACCGCCTCGTGCGCCGACCTCGTGCGTCCTGATGACTGAGCGACTTTTGTTATTTCCTTTGAACCTGTCTACGTGACTTTACCGAAAGACCCCCAAAGAATACAAATAGACAATGTTTTTGTTGATCGTATTGAAACGGCTGTACGCCGTACGGAACCTGAAAACTCAATTTCCCTGTATAAAGAATACGGAGTTAAAGCGTATGGGTTGATAGCTATGCTGTAGGATCGACGGCGAATCGAGGCGATCGCCCCAGGCCCCGCACTTGGGCGGCAGGTGGGGGGCCCCGTACTTCGGTGTCACGCTTGTTGTTGTTGGGGAGATGTAACAAAGCCGGTTTAGTTTTTAAGGCGTCGATTGTGATTAGGAACGGGCTCCGCTCCCTCCCCGTGACGGCCCTGGCCACGGGACTGACACGGAAAGATATCGGCCGTCACGGCTCTTTGTTTTTATCCGTGGCAGGGACTCGAACTTGCCTTAATACCTGACGCATAATGTGTGCGTTGTTGATGCGCCAGCAACCAAGTAAAAAAAAACACAAACGATGAGACGTTGTGCCAGCCACAACACCCATTCATTTGCCGCTTTGGACTTAATAGGCGCTTGCTAACACTATTTACACGGTCCGGATTCGTGGTGGGCAGTGCCGCATTATCCTAGTAGCAAAAGTAGCGACATGCTACGGGCCCCGCACTTTCAAGGGCCCCACGCTAAATGCTTTCAAACTATCAAATCCGGTTTATTGATTTCGCACTTGCTCGATTACTATAGTACTATACTGCCTTCAACTTTGATGAACGACTGGGTGTTTAAGGTTAGCAATTTGTCGTATTATCTGGCTGTATAGCAAATGAAAAAATACAATCATTTTACTATATTTTATTATTTTATTGTTTTCCCTTCAACGTGACTTTACCGAAAGAGCTAAAAATTAATGTTTTTAATATTTATGTGTTTTTTTTAATTTAGGGCCCCTTTATAACATATATGCTACAGGCCCCGCTACTAGCTTAATCCAGCATTGGTGGTGGGGAAAGTTTTATTTACTGAGAGACAAATATGAATGTAAGATACCATTGGCGGACCACGCATGAACGCGCAACTTTATCGTCATCAAAATCATAACACAAAAAATAATTACGGCTCACCTTTAACTTCGACGGTGGTGATCGAGCGTGCTAAAATTACACGCGTTGTCAACAATATTCCTCCGGAGTACTCGATCAGATGATTCATAACTTATTTTTGGGTTAGGCCCCGTAATAGTCTGACCAAATGTTTGCCATTTAGAACCCTCAGCCCCCTCTCGGCTGAGCTAAACAATTTAAGTTTCACGTTTACAAGCGCTTAATGATGCGGCAGTTATTATTCTTTCAGCCTAAGAGCAATCCTGACAACCACCTTTAGCATATGAATGACGCTTAAGTTACAATTTCAGTATGTCAAACATCATCTGGACCCGATCTCTGAATTAAATAGTAACAATACAGAATCAATCCAGGTTATTCTGACTTTCCCGGATTATTAACAGAAAATTACATTGGCGCATTAAACACTTGTACACGTGAAAATTAAGTCGTTAGGTTTTGACACAGAGCTGGTGAGATCATCACGTGGCCTGACCCAAAAACCTGTCATGAATTATAATATTGGCTGCGAAAATGCACGCGTTAACATTAGATCCCCGCTTGCAGTCTCGGATAACCATCGTTTTGTGTGGCCATTGAAAGGTGGCAGGCCTCACATGGCCACAGTGAGTGGTACCTGGCCTATGGGCCACAGGTTTCCCCACCACTGGCCTACGCTGTTAGGGGATGATAAAAAGGAAGAGGTCTGTGGATAATAATAGTAGTGCGGAGATTTAATAACTCCAACTGTGGGGGTACCACGGTGGCGAGATGTTAACTACCTCGCCCGGTGTGCAGGAGGACGTGGGTTCGATCCCCCACCTCTGACGCCTGCTGTATATTTTGAGTTTGCATGTTCTCCCTGTGGTCGCGTGGATTTTTCTCCAGGTCCTCTGATTTTCTTTCT